AAACTTTCCAGATTCATTGAATAACAAAAAAAAATCAATTTTTAATATTATAATATATTAAAATCTTTAAATCTTTCCATTCATATAATTTTCATTAATAAATTTCCTTATTTAATATTCCTTAATAACTTCCTTATTTATCAAAAAAATAATGAAAATGATCGAAATACCCTTATTGATTAAATTTAATTAAAAAAGAATGAAAATTTTCTATTGATCGATTTTGGTTTACACGGTTTTTTAGAATGACATGGTTTTCATTTGAACATGCCCTTATATATATATATATATATGTGTGTGTGTGTTTTTTTTCTTCAAATTTAGGGTATATCTCAAACACATTAGATGGTTACAAACGAGCTATTTGAGATCAAGGTAGACCACCAAAGAGCTATCGAGATGAAGAATGTGTAAAGTCAAATCATTCTTATTTGTGCCGCACTAAGCATATCTTTATTGGTAGTTAGGGGTGTCGAAGTCGGTTAGCATATCCATTGACTAATCCCTTTGGTAGCGTTTGGTACGCAGACATAATTGGACAGGATAGAACTGGACAGAACAAGAGGGTAGGACTGGACAGGGCATGACTGGAATGGACATAACAGGAGTATGTTTGGTGTTTGGTACTACGACTATGACTGGACGCGACAGAACTAGAGAAGCTATCCAAAAAAGTTATTTGATGATTTTAAATATTATATAATAGTTATAATTAACACAAATAAAGTAAATAATTAAATAATTTAATTTATAAATATTTGTACATAATTTTCATATTTGTACCAAATTTGAATGAAAAAATTGATATGATTGATGGTAGTAGTGTGTTGGTAGAAGTGGTTTTAGTTATGGTGGAGGTGGTGGTGGTTGGCGGTATTAGTGGCAACGGGCGGTGGTGGTCGGTGGCCAATAGTGGTTATGGAGGTAGAGGCAGTGGTGCTTGGTGGACGACGGTGGTTTATAGAGGACATGAAGATGGTAGATTCTGGTGGTGGCGGTTGACAACAGTGGATGAGGTAGTTGTGGTTGATGCAGTGAAGATAGTGGTGGTGGTGGTTGTAACGCCCCCAGAACCCCGTAGCATGATATTGTCCGCTTTGACTAA